ATAACTTTGGACCAGTTACCAGTAGTTCTATTTGAAATTCTATATTCAGAATATTCTACAATACAGATAAATGCCGTTTTTAGTGCATATCCATATATGCATGGACAGAGTTGGATGTATATACTTCTTATCCAAATGGCACAGCAAATGTGAAATATTATATTGTTAATTTCTTTTGTTTGTTGTAGGATGAATTTACTTGTGCAGGAATATATATGTTTATAGATTTTTCTATGAAGGAATTCTTATGTTTATAGATTTTTTTCAATTGTCAACATTATAAGAATATTATTTTGTAAAAAAAAAATATATATATATATATATATATATATATATATATTATTTTGTATATAAAAATGCAAATTATATTTAAGACGATCCAATAGCTAGAAGGTAAAAAATGAAAGAATAATAATTAAGCATGTATATGAACTAACCATTACAAAATTTAGAAATTCTAAGGATGAACAAGAACCTACAATTAAAGGAGACTTATAACAACGACTAGGAAAATTTCCAGAAGTCATGCTTTCGTCCATACCTTTGGGTCTCTCAAGCAAGCTTCGCACATGTGTATTCATATCCGTTTGATGTATTCATACGTTTTTATTATATATGTATATTATTAATGAACGGTCAAAAAATATATACTTTATATAGTCGATAACTACCTTTCGTATGTTGATCTAGGTTTTATTCAGAAACATATATGCATGGGCACTAGTCTTTTCCGTTGATTTCGGAAGTTCGTATTTGTAGTTGTTTAGGATTTTTTTGAATCCGTAAATCAATTTTTTTCCTGTTTACCCGGATTTCATGATTGTTATAATAAAACAGTTTTGTTGGAAAATCAAAATCCGATTAGAACTTGTTACTAATTTTAAGGGTTCACGGCTTCACGCATGATTCTTATTTTTCTAGAAGAAGAAACACGAAATGGGGTTTTACTGCTCAATCATGTGTTAAACCTTAAAAAGTAAACACATTGAAATTTTGACCACGTGTTTATTTCAAATGTCGACCATGTCACAAATTAAATTTGCACAAGTAAAATAATGTTCATATTTGTTGAACGGGAGACACTTGTGCTTAACTCTCTAATTAAGCTTCACGTGCATCGCCTAACTTTGCTTCCCATACGCCATGCGTGTGTCTCGCAATAGTAGTTGAACCTACGACGTCGTTTATTTGGAGCATTTAATTTGTTAAACAAGTAAATATTATGGGGTTCTGTTTTTTTTTTTTTAATTAAATTGGATTTTCCCAAATATAATGTAGTTCTGTCTCTTTTTTTTTTTTTTTTTTTTTTTTTGTGCGTGTGTGAGGTCAGATTCTTAAATTTCTATCCAGCATTGATGGATAAATCGACTTACGTGGGTGATGGGATGAACAAACAATTAAATAGACATTTTAGTATTCAATTACGGTCCAACTTGACAAACAAACAAAAAGTCTAATATGATTTGCTGTTATAATATAATATAATAAAATATAATGCAATTTACATGTAACACTTTTATAATATAATAAAATTGATTTGCTGTTAAAAACAAAACAAAAGGTCTAATATGACGTGGATATTTTTGACCATATATAAACCCCAAATTTCGTTCTTTACAATAAGCAATGTGACGAAGAAGGAAGAAAGGGCGGCGGTCACGTGAAAGGTAGTTATCGCCATTTCAACCGAACCTTCACGAACATACAAGTTCGGTTTTTCTTTACTGAAATAACGCATTATATCTGTAATACACGAAATTACGACTATTTCTTAACGAAAACGTGCTTCTTTCGTAGTATGTTGTTATATAGCTCACGTATGCATGTTAATTATTTCTCACGTAAATTTGAGATACATGTACGGCATAAATACATGTTTGAAGATTTTAAAATCACAAATATATGTATATCATAATGTAATATATATATATATATACAGGACTGTATATATAACCATTTTCATACATAATTTATTGGGGAAAAAGTCCACATTTATAGTGACTTTAGTCAGTCTAACCAATAAATAATCGAGCTGAGACTAGATTAAATAAGAAAAGGAAAAAAAAACTTCACTACCTTAAATCCATAAGCGATGTTTCTTGCAGAAATTACGATAAGCATGGTCTCGCTAAGAGACAACTAAATTTTTAAATAAATCAATTAAACGGTAGAGATAGAGAGAGGATTAAAATATGAAACTCTAAAGGAAGAAAATAAGATAAAATAAAATTATAGATGCCTAAAGTAGTGTTTCCGTGACAATCTCAATTTCACTCCATACGTCGAACTCATTCAAGCTCAAGAAACCTAACTTTTAACGTCCCTTTTGATTTGCCTATAAATACACGTACGTCCACACTCTCCAATTTCAAAAACAAAGCAACACAAAGACAAGAATCACAAACATCAAACATTTTCCACCCCTGCCCGAAAACGACACGCATTCCTTTCCCAACCAAAAAAAAAAAAAAAACACATTTCCTTACCAATGGCCCGTTGTTCCAAACTTGTTACCGTTTTCCTATTATGGGCTCTTTTGATGTTCTCATGGTGCAAAGGTTCAAGAATCAGCCCTAATGGATATGATCATTCTTATAAAAGGTTCAAATCCGATAGCTTAATCAATCGAAAACAGGACATCACGGGCTTGAGAAGTTTTGTAAGAGCCTCTTTGCGGACTCCAACCACAGTTAGTGTTTCTGATTATGGAGCTAAAGGAGATGGAAAAACCGATGACACGCAGGTGAATATATACACATTAAAATGTTTCTATTTTATTTTATCGTATAATTAATTATAAAACTGTTTTAGTACTAATGATCCATGCATGCATGCATTGATTAGGCGTTCGTGAATGCGTGGAAGAAAGCATGTTCTTCAAATGGAGCTGTTAATCTCCTAGTTCCTAAAGGGAATACTTATTTCCTTAAGTCTATTCAATTAACTGGTCCATGCAGTTCTATCATTACCGTTCAGGTAATTACAAAAATTGTTATTTTGTTATTTAAAAACGATAATATATATGTGTGGATTTTGAAACGAGCGTTTGGTCGATGGAACGGCAGATGTTCGGAACGTTATCCGCATCTCAAAAGCGAACGGATTACAAAGATATCAGCAAATGGATAATGTTTGACGGCGTTAACAGTCTATCAGTCGATGGCGGCGGCACTGGGGTTGTGGACGGAAACGGCGAAACGTGGTGGCAAAACTCATGCAAACGGAACAAAGCTAAGGTGGGTATATGTAAAATTGTAAATGTTCTCTTTAATTAATATACATCTACAAATAATCTTTGAATATTGAGTTATTGCAGATATTGACACTCTCTTTTTTTTTTTTTTTTTTTGTTTTGTATATGCAGCCATGCACAAAAGCCCCAACGGTACGTTGAAACAAATATGATATATCAAAAAATAATGTTGATGGCTTTGATTATAATTGGACAAGTGTTTTACGTATATATTTTTTTTTACATTCAGGCTCTTACTTTCTACAACTCGAAAAGTCTGATAGTGGAAAATCTGAGGGTGAGAAATGCACAGCAGATTCAGATTTCGATTGAAAAATCCTCCAACGTTCAGGTCTCTAATGTCGTGGTAACTGCGCCTGCGGATAGTCCTAACACCGATGGTATTCATATCACTAACACCCAAAACATTCGAGTCTCCGACTCCATCATAGGAACAGGTTAGTATATATTAACATCTGTTTTTCTTTGTTTTGTCCGTGACTAAAAAAAGGTTGCTTGCCTGCCAAGAGAGCTGAATTTTAAGGCTTTATATAATAATTTATGGAGATTGATCTAATAGGAGTTTAATGGTTGTTTTTCTGAATAGGTGATGATTGCATATCTATTGAAAGTGGATCACAAAATGTTCAAATCAATGATATAACTTGCGGTCCTGGTCACGGTATCAGGTATCAAATCATTGTTTTTAGTAATATACCAAAAGGTTTCTATCATAATTAATTAATCTTCCAATACTAATTAAGAAAATTTGATATTTAACAGTATTGGGAGCCTTGGAGATGACAATTCAAAGGCTTTTGTCTCAGGCGTGACTGTGGATGGTGCAAAGCTTTCCGGTACAGACAATGGAGTAAGAATCAAAACTTACCAGGTGAAAATTCACAAACTAGCCCTTCAATTTTAACTAAACTCTCTAAATTTTCCCCGTTTTATTAATTGATTTTTCAATTCATTAGGGAGGGTCAGGAACTGCTAGCAATATTATATTTCAAAACATTCAGATGGAAAATGTGAAGAATCCGATCATAATTGACCAAGACTACTGCGACAAGAGCAAATGCACTTCACAGGTTCACTGCAATCTGATCAAATCTTCCAAATACTCCATCATCATGGTAATAAATATATTTGGATCTAATCATTAGTACATATTTTCAGCAATCCGCGGTCCAAGTGAAGAACGTGGTGTACCGAAACATTAGCGGCACTAGCGCGTCGGACAAGGCAATAACGTTTAACTGCAGCAAGAACTATCCATGCCTAGGAATTGTGCTTGACAAAGTGAACATTAAAGGAGGGAAAGCAACTTGCACCAATGCCAATGTGGTTGATAAAGGAGCTGTATTCCCTCAATGCAACTCCACTTAATTAATTAGATATTTAGATCTATCAAACACATACATAGATAGACATATATATATATATATATATATACGAATAGATACAAAAATATGATATATATATATATATATACGAATAGATACAAAAATATGATTTATAGATACTTACTTCTAGTATAGTATAGGAATACATATATAAACAATGTTCGTGAGATTTGTAGTTTTATTTGTATTCTTACATACTATTGTAAATTGTTTATCTAAATAGTTTAATGAATAAAAAGGATTACATTCTTTAAAATGTTATGGACCTTATGGTATTATTGTTCTCTGATTAGAATATGAGGCCCATTAAAGCCCACTTCGCTATTTAAGTTACCAAACATACCCAACAAGGCCTTTAGAAACCCTAAAAATCCTTATTGTAGCAGCTGGAGCAATATATATCACAATTTGCCGCAACTAGGGTTTTCTCTTTCTCACAGAACGCAACACATCGAAACCGATTCAGCAGCTCTTAAACTCTTCGAAAATGGCGGAACGTGGTGGAGAACGTGGTGTTGAGCGTGGTGGAGAACGTGGTGGTCACGGACGTGGATTCGGAGGAGGCCGTGGAGATCGTGGAGGCCGTGGACGTGGAGGCCGTGGTCGACGTGGAGGCCGTACCAGTGAAGAAGAGAAATGGGTTCCAGTGACCAAGCTTGGTCGTCTCGTGGCGGACGGTAGAATCAAGCAGATAGAGCAGATCTATCTTCATTCACTCCCGGTCAAGGAGTATCAGATCATTGATATGCTCATCGGTCCAACATTGAAGGATGAGGTGATGAAGATCATGCCGGTTCAGAAGCAAACCAGAGCTGGTCAAAGGACTAGATTCAAGGCCTTTGTTGTCGTTGGAGATGGTAATGGTCATGTTGGATTGGGAGTGAAATGCTCTAAGGAAGTTGCTACGGCGATTAGAGGAGCGATTATTCTCGCTAAGTTGTCTGTTGTTCCAGTGAGGAGAGGTTACTGGGGTAACAAGATTGGGAAGCCACATACGGTTCCTTGCAAGGTGACTGGTAAGTGTGGATCTGTGACAGTGAGGATGGTTCCTGCTCCTAGAGGTGCGGGTATTGTGGCTGCTCGAGTTCCTAAGAAGGTTCTTCAATTCGCTGGAATTGATGATGTTTTCACTTCCTCCAGGGGATCTACCAAAACTCTCGGAAACTTCGTCAAGGTTTGTTCTTTCTTCCCTTTTAGTTACCTATACATGAGTTTCGTTTGCTTTTGAGTGGTTTCTGGTAATTGCTTGTGAAATTTGATCATTTCCTGTCATTTTAGTACGGTAATTGCTACAAAAGTAGTTCCAGGAGTCCATAAAAACTGACTTCCATCCTTATTTGATGAAATATCTCTGGAAATGTTTTTATAGGTCTATTGATGGAAGTAAAGATAGAAAGTGTTTCTCTTTGGTCTAGTGATTCTCTTAAGCTGTATTGAATGATCCCTTTGTATCATTTTTATGGCTAATTTCTGAAGCAGTAGAAAACATTGTATCTAGCAAATGAAGAGTAGATTCAGTTTGGCTTGTCTTTATTTGTTGGTAGTGTATCATATTGATTGATGATACTTGACTCTGTTTGTATTTTACTCTCTAAGTTATTTCTGGAAGTTTGGTAGTCAAATCTGTAATGAGTCTTCTTATGATGCTATTTGTTTTCTTGCTAAAATTGGGAGTTTTGTATCTTGAATATGAAAAATTGTTTTCATGATGTTGGTTATATTATTGCAGGCTACATTCGATTGCCTTCAGAAGACTTATGGATTCCTTACCCCAGAGTTCTGGAAAGAGACGAGGTTCTCTAAATCACCATACCAAGAGTACACTGATTTCTTGGCGTCTAAGGCTCTTCCGAGCAGCAAAACCGAGACTTTGGTTGAAGACCAAGCTTAAACAATGCTCCCACCTTGTGTTCTTTTTGGATTATCATCCTTCATGAGTTAATTTTGGTTGAACCTTTGGTAGTATATGTTGCTGGATTGTGCACCTTATGTTTTCATCTCTTCCAAACTACTTTATTTTTGCTCAGTTTTTTAATTATGGATCTTAATGTTCTAGCTTTGCTTTTTCTTATGTTGAGAAAAGTTCATTCCAGTTTGTTTGGTGCCAACTTAATTTTCACAATTATATCTACCTTTACAATCTTGGTTTATGATAAAGCTTTGTTGGATTTAACATGTTCCATTGACGAACCATTATGATGAAGAACGTTCGCTAACATGTTCTGATTCTTGGAAACTTAAAAAGTTAACTTTCGTAAAAATGTCTAAAGTTTTGACTTTTTAAAACTGATGGTTGTGAGATAGATAAAAGAGAAAGACTTTGAATATTGAAGAAGAAATCAGTTTGACATTTCCCACATATTTGAAAGCTCTCACTTTTACGGCTTCTGCGATATTTCAGCTCATCTAGATTCGCGGAATCTGATTTCTTTTGTTTTCCCCGGAGTTTCTCCCTAGAATTGATTTCAATTATTTTGGTCGGAATTGTTGTTCGAATTCGAATGGGAACACCGGAATTTCCAGATCTGGGGAAACACTGCTCCGTCGATGTTTGCAAGCAAATCGATTTCTTGCCTTTCACCTGCGACCGTTGCCTCCAGGTCCCTTTATCTCTCTGTTTGTATTCACATGCAAAGACTCGATTTTTATGTTTTTCGTGGATTGTGTTTGACTCTGATTGAATCCCATATCTCTGGGATCAGATTTGATTTCAAGTCTCGAATATCGAATTTATCACTGGAATCCTTTTGGTTATCGTTAGGTGTTAAGTTAACTGACAAGTGCAGCTTAATTATCGTCATTTTAGCAATTTATGTTGTCATGTCGATTGAAGTAGAGTTCTTCAACATTTGGTGTCCCATTTCTTGATTCTTGTCTGTTTTCTTTTGACTCAGAAATATTCTGCTCATTCTTCTCGAATCTGTGATGATTCTTTACTGCTTTCTTGATTTAAGACAACTCTGCTCGAAATTCATACAATGATTCTTGTCTACTTTCTTGGTTCGGTTGTTTGTTCTCATGTTTCTGCTGGATCCGTTGACTGTTGGCGATTTGAATTTTGTTTTTGACTTGTGTTCTCGCTCTGGTTTTCTCTGAATAGTGTCACAATGTTTCTTTGGTTTGGAGTTTTTTACAGGTGTTTTGTTTGGATCATCGAAGCTATATGAAACATAGTTGTCCAAAAGGCGACAGAGAAGATGTAACCGTGGTTATCTGCCCGCTCTGTGCGAAAGGAGTCCGGTTAAACCCAAACGAAGACCCAAATATAACATGGGAGAAACATGTCAACACTGATTGTGACCCATCAAACTATGAAAAAGCCACCAAGAAGAAGAAATGTCCGGTTCCAAGATGCAAGGAGCAACTAACATTCTCCAACACCATCAAGTGCCGAGATTGCAATATTGATCACTGCTTAAAACACCGTTTTGGACCTGATCACACTTGCCCTGGACCAAGAAAACTCCCATTCATGGGTTTCTTGAGTAGTAGTAGTAGTAGCAGCAGAAAAGAAGCTAAGACAACAAGACCCACCAAAGCTCATGCATCAACTTCATCATCTTCTTCTTCTTCGAGATGGTCCAATCTTCTATCTTCAGCAGAAGCAGGGATTAGCAGACTCGGTAACGACATTAGCCAGAAGCTACAGTTTTTGAGCAGCAGCAGTGATGGTATCGTGGAGGTGTGTCCACAGTGCGGTGCGAAATTCTCTTCGGTTACTACTCTTGTGGAACATGTAGAGAAAACACATGAGAGGAACAGGAAGCAGAATCATGGCAATGTCACAGTCGATGTCTGCCCTAAATGTAGCAGAGGATTCCGCGATCCAGTAGATCTTGTGAATCATATCGAAAGAGATCACCGAGGTACTTCTAAAGCATAGGAACATAGGCGTTCACAAGCCACACAGCACAACATTTCTTGTGACAGTACTCAAACATCTTTGTATGTTTTTCATTTTACTGGTTTTAAACAAGCAGAAAAATCACATTCTTTGAAAATTCATGGACTCATGTCCAGAAATGTAGACTAATGTTATCATATCCTTGGGCCTAGGCCTTTGGGCTTTTGTTGGGTGGTATGGTTTTTTCAATGAACAAATTATAAGAAATTCAACGGCGACCAATGTGGTTAAGTCCGTTAAGAAAGGGTAAGACCGTAAATGGTTATCACTGGCGAGTTCTTCGCGGGAAATTTACCCGCTTTCCGCGGTAAAAAAAAAAAAAGAAAAACAGATTGCCGGCCCCACGTGAACGTCATGTGCAGTTAACGACGTTAATGATAAGTTGCAGCTAACTTAACGGTGCAATAAACCTTAATGAATTGAATGTATCAGTACTTTTTCTCTTAAATATAAAACGTGTTCTTGTCGAAAGAATTCGATTTAATTTTATTTAAACACTAATACCGGCCTAATCTAACATTTGGCTTTTAAAAAACAATGTGACTTTATTGAAGTGTGGATAAGTTCTTATAATCAAGGAATTAAAAGATACAAATCTCCAAATAATTTTATTTATTTTCTAGAGTGTATAAATGTTTTCCACATCATGCTCACACACACCGTGTGAGTAAGTAATTAACTAATTATAGAATAATTTAAAGAGTTATTTGCTTTATTTGCAGTGTATGAGCTGGCCAAAATGCAATAACTACCTCAACAATGTTCAACAAAGAAGGAAAAAATAATACGTTTATAATCAAAGCCGCTTATATTCGCATCCGACGGCTGAGATTAAGAGATTATTATCTCAAGGTGTTTTAAAAGAAAATAAAAAAATAAAAATGAAGTAGCAACGAAACGGCAGAAGGTGGAACCCGCGTCGTGCCGTTGAAAACGTTTCTGATAGGAGAAAAAATATCAGAGCTCAAAGCTTCGCCGGACGATCCGGCGACTAAATTCCACTGAGAGAAACAATCTCCGTTCTCTCAGAGAGAGAGAGAGAGAGGGTTTCGAGTTTTCTGGTGCGTCGCCGATCAATTTTCAGTTACCGGTTGGCTTATTTGTGCTTTGATCTGAGGTAAATTGATTTTCCTTCTTGCAGCATTACGTTGAAGTTTCTGATCAATCTGGGTTTTATGTCATCTGGGTTTGTTAAATCATTGATTTCTCGGGATGTGATGATTTTGCAGACTTTTTTGGGGAAATCGTTTTCGGCGGATTGTAAAATGAATTGGTTTCGTTTTGAGCAATTTTATGTACGTTCTCAGATAAATAAATGTTAGTCGTTTTTGAATTTTTGAAATTTTTGGATATTTCAGGCGAAGGTTTGAGTTTTAAGGAGTGCCTCGTTTAATCATCGAGCTCTGTTTTCCTTCTTGCCCGAGGAAGCTCTAGGGCTTTTTCGGTGGATCAAGAGGGACGGAGGATTACACGTTAGTTAATAGATTCAACAGGATTTTGAGGAATATTGATTGATCAGTGGTTTTTTTTATCTGAGTAGTAGAAATGAGCTCAGTCTCGGGTGTAATCTCGAGGCAAGTTTTGCCTGTTTGTGGTAGCCTTTGCATTCTTTGCCCTGCGCTTCGTGCAAGATCTAGACAGCCTGTGAAGAGGTACAAGAAGCTCATTGCTGATATTTTTCCTCGTAATCAGGTTCGTATCTAGCCATTTTCATACTTATGTTGACTTGTTGCTTCTTGTAGTCTATGGAAGTTGGATTTTGATTTCCTTCGACAAGTTCCTACTTAACTGTTATTTAATCTGTGTTTCTAATTTTTCCGGAGTGGCAGAAATTTTTGTTTTTACTCTTCCATGCTTTCCCTTTACTATGTTAAAGTTTGTCGATCAGCATTTCATTTCTCTTTGAGTTGTTATCTAGTGAATGAGACACTATGTTCTTTGGTACTATAATAGAAAACTGGAGCTTCCCTCTTGGTTATCTAGGTGGGTTGGTTTAATTTATTACTGCTTTTGATTTCTGCAGGAGGAAGGCATAAATGATCGAAAGATTGGAAAATTATGTGAATATGCTGCAAAGAACGCTGTGCGTATGCCAAAGGTATAATTTATCCAGTGCCAAGTCTAGGCACATTAATTCTTACAAATCTTGGGCTGGACTGGAATATTAGCAATTCCTTGGCATTTCTAAGTTCATATTTGAGTCAGATTACTCTTTGTAGCAACGTTTTCAGATTTCCTTGTTCCCAAATTTAGTTTTCTGTTGTTGAAATTTACGATTCTCCAGATATCAGATTCTCTGGAACAAAAATGTTACAAGGAACTGAGGAATGAGAATTTCCACTCGGCAAAGATAGCCATGTGTATTTACAGAAGGCTTCTGGTCACTTGTAAGGAGCAAATGTGAGGTCATCCTTCTTTTGCTTTCTTAACAAACAATTCATATGTTCTCTTATGTCCAATGGGAGCAAGAGTATTCCGGCATGTATAGGTAACTTGATTGTTTTTCTTTGTTATTTTTTCAGACCTCTTTTTTCTAGTGGTTTCCTAAGGACGGTGCAAGCTCTTTTGGATCAAACTCGACAAGATGAAATGCAAATAGTTGGGTGTCAGTCTCTTTTCGAATTTGTAATTAATCAGGTCAGCTTCTTACATATTTGATATAATTATCTTGTAGCCACATGTCAGGGTGCTATCTGATAGTATGGTTAAGGACATACAAAATAATGAAATAGCATGATATATTCATGCTACCAAAATTTTCAGAAGGATGGCAGTTCCCTGTTTAACTTGGAAGGCTTTCTCCCAAAGCTGTGCCAATTAGGACTGGAAGGTGGGGATGATGATAGGTCGCGGAGCCTGCGTGCCGCAGGACTTCAAGCCCTTTCAGCAATGGTAATTCGGTTATGTTGTTATATTTCTGTAGATACTATTCTTCATTATTGTAAATCTCTAAGTATCTTCTGATGCATTATGGTCCGTTTATCTATTTCCAGATTTGGCTGATGGGTGAATACTCTCATATTCCCAGCGACTTTGACAATGTAAGTAACTCTCAGGTTCCTTTGTTTTCTTCACAGGTATTCTTGGGTTTCCGGGTTCCTATATATTCTGATCTGCTATTCTTCATAGAAATCAATTGATTTGTGGTATCTAACAATAGATAAAGGGAGGAATACTCTGATGAATTTCCTTCCAAAATGTCTTGAAATACCATGGCAATCTACCAGTCGTTGTTACTTTACGTAGAACTGGGAGTTGGGATCGTATTGCTAGAATTGTACCTTAGTAGAGTTTTAGGTAGTACATGTTAGTATATGTTAACTGATAAATTCAATACTTGCATGGCAGGTTGTCTCAGCAGTCTTGGAAAATTATGGCCACCCCAAAATACTTACAAATGCTAATGATAGTGGCAGAAAATGGGTGGATGAAGTCTTGAAAAACGAAGGTCATGTAGCTTATGCAGATTCCCTCATAAATGTTCCTTCTTGGAGAACGGTTGTGAATGACAAGGGTGAACTAAATGTGAAAATGTAATCTCTTTTCTCGTCAGTTGTGTTTACGTTTACCTATTTGGGTTCTTTTCTTCCTTAATATATCTTTGTTGTGCAGGGAAGATTCCTTGGACCCTAGCTTTTGGTCCAAGGTTTGCCTACACAACATGGCCAAGCTAGGTGAAGAGGCCACAACAATGAGACGTATACTTGAGTCTTTGTTCCGTTACTTTGACGAGGGATGTCTATGGTCAACAGAAAATTCGATTGCATTCCCCGTTTTAAGGGATCTGCAGTTTTTAATGGAAATATCTGGTAATACGCTCACGATAGTTTTCATTCAGCCCTTCCCGCATGATCAGTGCTCTGAAATAGTTCTGAATTCTTGCAGGGCAAAGAACACACTTTCTACTGTCTATGTTGATCAAACACCTTGATCATAAAAGTGTGCTTAAACACCCAAGCATGCAGCTCAACATTTTAGAGGTTACCTCCTCCCTTTCTGAAAATGCAAAAGTTGAGCACTCCGCAGCAATAGTCAGCGCAATAAGCGATCTCATGAGGCACTTGAGAAAATGCATGCATTCTTCTCTAGATGAAGCAAATATTGGAACTGACGCAGCAAACTGTATCAGAATGGTCAGTGTAGCTGTTGATAAGTGCCTCGTCCAACTAACGAAGAAGGTATATTTTATCATTCTCAGAGCAAGTTCCTCTTCAATATATTCTTCTCTAAAGAGATATGTGGCTGATCTGTCAATTTTCTAAGGTTGGAGATGCTGGCCCAATTCTAGATGCTATGGCTTTGATGTTGGAGAATATCTCCGCTGTCACAGACGTAGCAAGAACCACAATTGCTGCTGTTTTTCGCACTGCTCAAATTATAGCCTCTATACCAAATCTACAATATCAAAACAAGGCAACCTCCCTGTAACATATAGTTTGTCTCTTTTCTTTGTGAGATTTTAGACCAATTTTCATGACATTGCTAAGCTTTTATTACCCTTTTCGTTTCAGGCTTTTCCCGAGGCCTTATTCCATCAGTTACTACAAGCTATGGTCCATCCAGATCATAATACACGGATTGGCGCCCACCGTATATTTTCTGTTGTGCTGGTACCAACCTCAGTCTGCCCCCGTCCTTCCTCGACCACTACTGACCTTAAGAAAGGAATGGGTCTTCCTCGTTCACTTTCAAGGACCGCTTCTGTCTTTTCCTCTTCAGCAGCCCTTTTCGAGAAGCTGAAGAAGGATAAATTTTCATCGATGCTGACTTCTGATCAGAGCCAAAACGGAATGCCTGAGGAAGAATGTGGAAGCACTACGGGGGAAATCCTTGACAGATTGAAATCTTCATACAGTCAGGCATATAGCACTTGGAATCAACCAGTGACCTCGGTAGCAGATAACTCTGTGGATCTTTTAAACTCTGAGCTGGTACATCCTTGCAACCTTTTATGTGTGAAAAAACTTACTAGAAGAGTATTGCATTTCTTATTGACCTTAAATGTGACCCTAGAGGCCTATATATACTTAAAGTCCGAAAATCTCCCAAGGCTCTCAACATAGCTTCAGGATGGGACCAACAGTATATATAATAAGCGAGTACAAAGTAGCCTCTTGAAACCACAATAATTTGTGTGCCCTACTCTAACTACAGTTCTAATTATATAGAAATTCTTGATTTATGCTTACAGTTCTTAGGTACACCTTGGATCAATCTTCACTCTCTAATTTTATTTCTTATATGCTCCTCAGGATGCTGTTCATATAAGGCTAAGTAGTCACCAGATAGGTCTTTTGCTTTCATCAATCTGGGCACAGTCCATATCTCCGGCAAATACACCAGACAATTATGAGGCGATTGCTAACACCTACAGTCTTGTATTGTTGTTCTCTCGTGTTAAGGTAACATATATTTCATACCTCAATACCTCTGCATCTGAGTGTTTCTTATTTTTTTTATGACCTATGAGCAAAGTCTCACTAGATCTCCTTATGAATTATCTGGTCACAAAATTTGTATCTTTCAGAACTCAAGTCATGACGCTTTGATTCGAAGTTTTCAAATGGCACTTTCTTTGCGAGATATTTCTTTGATGGAAGGAGGTGAGCTTCCACATGTTTTGACTCCTCCCTGCTAGATATTTATCCTTGGTTTTTGGTTTGGAAACCATGATCTATGATCAATATGAAAGAAAATCATCAGTGGATTCTTTTTTGTCACATTAAGAACAATATCTTGGTTTCTTGGAATGTCCTACTAGATATATATGCTGAAGTAAATGTCCGTGTAGAAATTATGTTTGAAACGAGGGAGAGCTATGTTTGAACATCTTCTTAAAGAAACTTAGTCATTTGTTCCTACTATTGCAGGACCACTTCCTCCATCTCGGCGAAGGTCACTCTTTACACTGGCTGCATCAATGGTTCTTTTTTCCTCAAAAGCATTCAATCTTTTTTCTCTGGCGGATTTCACAAAAGTAACACTTCAGGGACCAAGGGTACGTTGATCATTCTAGTGAAAATGTTGAGATGTTGATGTTTTGTTTCTCTTGGAATTATTTCACGCAACTCAATTTGCCAAAAATATCATTATTGTCGCCCCAGACTAATATGCTCTATATTATTATGATAGCATCTATACACAAAGAGAAATTACTTACCATTTCTCTTTAACTTCCTGTTCTGCCATTCAGCTTGACCCATTCTTGAACTTGGTTGACGACCACAAGTTGAAGGCTATAAATTCAGATCAGCTAAAAGGTTCTTATGGATGCGAAAAAGATGATGCTTCAGCTTTAGATACTCTTTCAAACATAGCACTCTCCACTGAGCATAGCAGAGGAAACCTTGTCTATGAAATCGTCAAAAGCTTAGAATCTATGTGCAATGTAAGTATTTCCTGTCACAACCTCCCAAGTAAATTACTTTACCCGAGCTTACCATTCCATATTTTGGTAAATAAATTGATAACCACAGTAAACTAACAAAAAGTAAAACTATTTCCAGTCTGAAATGGACAAAATGCGAGAGCAGTTGCTCACAGAATTTATGCCAGATGATGCATGTCCACTTGGTACCCGGTTTTTAGAAGATACCCAAAAAACCTATCAGGTTGATTCTGGAGATGTTAAATCTCAAAAGGTGGTAACTAGTTCTTCTGCTTCCCGTAATTTTCTCTGATAATCTCGAGATGAACATCGTATTGAAATATGTTGTGTTTGTGTCTTCAGGACGCGGCACTCTTCTCTCACGAGGATCAAGAGTTTGGAGATGGCACCGAAACCGTTGCAAAGAATCATCCTGTAACATTTTCTGAAATCCCAGACCTCCTGACCGTCAATCAGATATTAGAATCTGTAAGTTACATGTTCCATCTTCCTAGTAATTAGATTACAAAGTCTTCACCAAAAGTAACATACAATAAACTGTACTTCTTTTGTTTTGTTTGAAGGTCGTTGAGACAACAGGTCAAGTGGGTAGAATATCCTTCCATACTGCAGCTGATGCTTCATACAAAGAAATGACACTTCATTGTGAGAATCTGTTAATGGGAAAACAGCAGAAGATCTCGAGTCTTTTAAATTCTCAGCTACGACATGAGAGTTCTGTTAACTGCTCTCCACGACAACATGATGAAGAGATTAAGATCGCAAGTTTCCATCCTATGCTCAATCCAACATTTCATACTGAGGTATGTATGCCTTGTCTTTTATATTGTGTACTGAATTCAGATAATCTAATGAAACCAATCGTAGCCTCCGGTTTCATCTTCCAAGATATAACTGTTTAACCATTTTTTGTATTGATTAAAAAAATTTGCTTAGGTCGAAGTCCCTTTACTGTCGAATTCCTTTGACATGAAATCGCCAAGAACACCAGTGGGAACTATTCAGTCACCGTGCTTTGCAGAACTACAAAATAACCCACAAGCATTTAGACTACCAGCCTCAAGCCCTTACGACAACTTCCTTAAAGCTGCTGGCTGTTGATCATCGGCAGGATCCAAACCATTGTTTGGCTTTGAACTCCAGTCAAAAGAACTCAAACAAAAAAAATTAACAAAACTAGGTTTGCTTGGTTTTCAAAGTCTTGAGTTACATTTTTTAGATTCTTTAGCATTATAAATCGGAATTACTCCGTCGTCCTCCTAGGGTTTTTATTCCTATCTTCTCTTTTCACTTATTCTTTTATCCAATTCATTTGTTTCTTTTTGGTGTGATGTGTAAAAAGATGAAAGAGGCCATCTGGTTTTCACGTGGTCTTGTAATCTAAAGATTCTACAACAATGGCTTTGTTGAACAGTTTCCCACAAGATGTATATTGGTTCTTCTATGATCTAATCTATAATTTGTGTTATTGGATAAGTAAATCAACCATTGGCGGTCAATTCATCATGAAAACCTATATAATAATAATACACCTCGCATATATAGGAATGCGTTTTTTTGTATATGAATGTCACAAAAGGAAACTAAATATCATCATTCATTTGCTCATTTGATTTGCTTAACCTCTTGAAGCATTTCAACTACTTTCTTCATCTTTGGCCTTTTTGCAGGTGTGATGTCTGTGCAAAGCAATGCAACTTTCAGAGCTGCAAGCATCTCTCTCCTCCAAGCAAAGGACACGGTGCTAAGCTTGGCATCAAGTATCTGTTCCGGTGTTTCTCCTCTCGCTGAAGCTCCATGGACCCATTTCACCAAATCTACTCCTTCACCAAACTCTTCCTCCACCGGCGCTCTTGAGGTTAGAATCTCAAGCAACACAACTCCGTAGCTGTAAACATTCCCCGGTGCAGTAACTTGCATTGTGTATGCATACTCTGCGGAATAAAACAAGGGAAAGTGTTGGAATTTTTATTGAGTTATTGGTAACAAAATTAAGAGTTTATACCTGGTGGAATGTAGCCAAAGGAGCCTGCAACTGAGCTAATACTTGCGGTGCCTCTAGAGGGATCTAGAAGTTTTGATATTTCGATTTCCCCAAGCACGGCTTTGTAACCAGAGTCTATCAAGACATTGCTAGAGGAAACATCGAGGTGAATGATGGCGACTTGGTGGAGAAATGCTAAACCTTCTGCTACTCCAACAGCTATGGACAGTCTCATTGGCCAGTCAGGTTGGTACTCTGGTTTCTTGGTGGACTCATGAATCAGCTGAGTTAAGTTACCATTAGGTAAATGCTGATGCAACAAGAGAGCAACATCTTCGTATATAACAAACCCAATCGGTCTAACCAAATGGTCATGGCAAAGTTTACTGAGTCTTTCGAGTTCTCTGATCATCTTGTTCTGATGATGAGTTATGGCTCTATCCATAGACTTGAGTTTCTTCACCGAAACAATCATCCCCGAAGGCATAACGGCTTTATAAACTGAACTGAAAGTTCCCGTGCTGAGTTTATTCGATTCCTTCATAGTTGCTTTCACAACTGCATCAAGATCAATTCCTTGTTTAAGATTTTCAAGGAAGACATTTCCCGCTATAATTGCTGGTTGCTCATCCTCAACATTTTCTTCAACATCAACGTTTTTAGCCGCTGCTTTCTCTTGTTTCTCCCTCATCATGAAGAGAAGAACAACCACAGTGACTGATACAAAGACAGCCACACCAGAACCAATCACTGCAAGCACAATCCTGTAGGAGACTCTGTGATTGTATCTCAAATGTTCAAGATCTTCAGAATTTCCACAAGAAGAGCTCAATGGTGCTCCACATAGCTCTTTGTTTCCCGAAAAGCTCGAATTTGGAGACTTTTGAAAGGGAACAAAAACTGGCACAGGACCATTCAAGAGGTTGTTTGAGAAATTAACCTCGATCAAACTCATCATACCTTTCAGTAGTTGCGGTATGGATCCTGTCAGCAAATTGTTAGAGACATCCAATGACACGAGCTTGTCGAGTTTTCCTAACTCGGGAGGCAATGATCCATGAAGATGGTTGAAACTTAAGTTGAGTGCTATCTGCAAATTCCTCATGCGACCAATCTCGGGAGGAATGGTTCCCGTCAAGTAATTTCGACCCAATTGTAGCTGAAGCAGCTTCACACAGTTTCCAATCTCATGAGGTATGTCTCCTCTTATGGAATTCTGATCAAGAAGCAAATACTGAAGCCTCGGCATGATGCAGAGTTCCTTTGGGATGGTTCCATTGAGTCTGTTGTTACTCAAATCAAGCTTGTTAAGGTTTCCACTTCCAAGAAACGACTTCGGGATTTCCCCAAAGAGACTATTACCTGAGAGAATAAGTTCTTGAAGATTAATGAGCTGACCAAGCTCTGTTGGAATGGTTCCAGCGAACCCATTTGCTGCTAGATTCAGCAGAGTGAGGTTAGAACAATTTGAAAACTCTGCAACAATCTCACCTGAAAGATTGTTATTGTCTGCTTCAAAGTAAGTAAGTCCACTAATGTTTCCGATTGTCTTTGGAATGACTCCCACAAGCTCGTTATTCCCAATTCTAATGCTCGAGAGGCCGCTGCAGATTCCTACTGCTTCAGGGAGTTCACCGGTCAGTCTATTCTGTGTCAAGACCAAAACTTTAAGCTTCCCTTTCTCAAAAACCCCCTTTGGAATCTTCCCCTCAAGCTGATTTGAGTGAAGATTCAACAATTCCAACTCAGAGACCGAACCTAACCCATTCGGTATCTCACCAACCAAATCATTCTCATAAGCCGTAAACACCCTAAGATTGCTCAGATTCCCTACCCAGTGAGGTATAGAACCATTTAACCCATTTCCAGAGACTTGAAACTCCTCTAACCTCTCTAGAACCTTAAGCTCATCAGGTATCTCTCCCACAAGCAAGTTATTGGAAATGTTGAACGCTTTAAGCCCTCTAAGCTTACCAAACTCAACTGGAATCGCTCCAACAAAACGATTTAGAGACAAATCTAGAAACTCAAGCTCAGACAAGTTGCCAAAAGACGCAGGAATTGGTCCATTGAAGTTGTTACTAGAAAGATCTAGATGCTTTAAGCTTCTGAGGTCAGAGATTAGAGTGACATTACCTCTAAGCTGAAGCCCTGAGAGATCAAGCATTTCAACAAAAGAGTTGTTGAGACCACACTTGAGCCCAACCCAAGTACAATAGTCAGTGCCATTGCTACTCCATCCTGGAACTCCAAGCTCTCTATTAATGGCAACCAATGTGGCTTCATCGCTTAGCTGAGCTTCACAAAACTCAGATTTTGATAAAAACGCAACAAGAATCAGAAGAATTGACATGCACCAAAATGCCATTTTTAAGAAATCAGAGTAGAATCAAATCAAATCAATCACACACTCTTGCTCTTCTTCTTCTTCCCCCAAAACACACACAATTGATTGACAAAATTACCATTGATTTTTTAAGCGAATTGAAACAAGAAAGTGAGAGAGGAGAAGAAAAGTGTTGCTCTTTTCGCCATGAATCCAGGATTAAAGCTCTGGTTTTTGAAGTCAAAACAACTGTTTCTGAACAAAACCCATCTTTAGACTTCTGACGATAAAAAAGAAAGACAAGTGCTTTTGAGTGTGAGTGTGCTTTAGAGAGAGAAAGGAGAGAGCAAATTTAGGGAGAAAAAACCATGAGAGAACAAAGAGAAGAGAGCAAGGAAAATCTGATCATAGAGTAGGGTCTATGCGTATAAGAGAGCAGAAGAAAATGCATTTTGTGTTTGTTTTTTTTAGTATATCACGAAATTATGATTGCAGAACCAAACAAAGATCCTCTCACTTCACACACAGAGAGCGAAGAGAGAGACCCCACAAACAAAGCAAACGCACTTGTAAAGGAGGGAATTTTTTTCTTTTCTTTTCTTTTTTTGACGTATTTAAAAAAGTATTTATTATTAATTTCTGATACAAAAAGTTTTATTTTCTTCACGAGACAGTGCAAGTGATGAATGAATGAAAGCTGCATAAATCTTTCTGACACATTTTTTCTGCTTTTCTGAAATAACAAAATTAAAATATATATATATATATATATAATTAAAGAAAAATGAAGTGTGTACGTTTTTGATAATTCTTTTCTTCTGACGTTTTTTTTGTACCATACTGATACTGTCACAATGTTCAATACCAAAGAGGTAAAATATTTTCCAAATCTATCTTCGTTTTTTTTTTTACCTTTTTTTTAAATCAAAATTTTCCCAAAGTTTACACACTGTTTGCAGTTATCATTTGTGGTATAATGACATTTTTCTGTATATAAAATATTTTTCTTATTCGTAGGGACTAGGTAGCATTTGTAGCCTACATGTTTTCTCTTTGATCTCTTAAATCTACGTTTGACAATAGGGAATCTACTTTCGTTTGGTGTTTTGTTGATTACTTTAAACACGATCCATGTTTGAAGTATACCAAATTTTGATGACATTTATGTCATGAATCTAAGATTAAAGAATCACACGAGGTGGATGATTATTACTATTATTATTCGTCTGCAATGATAGTCAGGAAACACTGTGTGTGTTAATATCGATAGATATGATTGATTTCCGATCGAGTATAAAAAATACACGTACATTTTTGTTGTAAGATGTTCAATATGTAATCAACGATTTGTCAAATTTTGAATGTTGGTACAAGACATGTTTTATCATATGTCTACCCCAAACATCGAGATTAGTATATTTTCTGATAATTAATGTTCTGCATTCCCTATTATAAAAGAAACATACCAACAATTTATTAAAGAGCTGTGTCTTAAGCTGCTTCCGATACTCCTAAACGACCCAAAACATTGAAAAATGATGTCGGATATATCATATATGTGTTCATCAATTACTAACTAAATATTTGACTGCTACACATGAACGTTCTATAAGAACAATATTATGTGGATCTTTTCGAATGACTTGAACCAAACCGTGTTCATAAATATTCTCATTGGTGTAATTTTTAAGCTAGATGAAGATGGTCGTAAAATCACATACAAATAATTGTTGCTTATATGACACCATTTTCGTCTTTCCTATAACTATTACCTGATACATGAGCTCGATCTGTAATCCTATTAAAAATTGTGATCGGATCGTTAGATTACATAAGTATAGTAAAAGGTAAAATACTGAAAACGAGTTTGTTTTAATTTGCACAATTGTAAACTAGAAAGAAAGATTCAAATAATGCAACATTCGAGCAAATTCAAACCTTTATACTCAAACATCCGATCTTCATTAACTTTATAGTTGGTATATTCTAATGAAGCAATTAAACAAAATCATATATAAAAGCTCCGTTTTATCAACATATATTCCTTGATGCTGCAAAGAATTTGTATATTGATTTTTTCAGAAAAAAATACTCCACAAGATTGAGAATAATAGAATGAGGAAGAGTGGGGTTCACTCACGGGATGGGGTAAAAGAAAAAGGAATGTGGCTCTTTATTACGGTTAGGCAAATTGTAGGACCCTTCTTTGTCTGCTCCGACCACCACCACTCACCACCTCCGTCCCATCGTTTTTTTGATACCTAATTGGCTAATTACTGTAATTAAGTATTTATATATATAACACTATCAAGCAAGTTTTTATTCTATTAAAATCTAAAAACTAACTCCAATTCATATTCAACTCTAAACCAAAAAAAAACTTTCTTACATTTCTTTTCACGTGAGTTTTTCACAACTCATGATATTAATTAACAAGAATTCTTCTTGTTTTGGTAGATTGTCATAGCTTTACTGCTACGGTGGAAAGAAGGAAACCATAATTAGCAACAACAAAATATAAATCCATTAGTTTGGTTTTCAATAGAATTTTGTATTTTCTTGTTTCCTTTTTGACATAGTATAATGTATTGAGAAAAGCACAATTGAATTTTTCTATGAATTGATTTCTAATCATGCATATACATTTTCTTAGTTGGTTAATTTTATGCCTTTCAAGTAATCTAATTTTTTCACAAATAGTTTATATTAGACGAATCATAAGAAGAGCAGCAACAGAAAGAGAAGACATAATGATGGAAGCACCTCGTCGCTTTAAACTCGTGAAGAAGGGGAGATAAGAAGTGTAATTAATTGTTTTAAAATTTCAATAATTAATATTGTTAGGAAAAATGTAAATCAATGATTACAATGAAAACTTAGTCATTAGCTTATGGATGCTTTACCTATCAAACTGACTTTCTGCGTAATCATTTGTGAATATTCATGACTTTGCTTTCGAACTCTTGAAACGAAGATTATGCCGAGATTTATGCTCTCATCATTACGGATTTGTGGGATGTCGTACCAAAAATTATTATTCTCATTAATTAGTCACTAGTTCTTTAAGCTCACCAACCGTACGATCTAATTAGTGTTTTGGGAAAAAATGTTCAATTTCTTTTTTTTTTTTTTTAAACTCATTTGTAACCATGAATTCCTTAAACGTTCCTTTTTATTCATATACTTATATAACTTTCTCATTTTTATATTTATAAAAAGTACTCCCTCCGTTCCTTGAAGTTTGATGTTCTAGTGTTTTGAGTTTGTTCTACAAAGATTGATTTTGTAGATTTTTTTATTTTTAATTAATCGATTTTAATAAATCGTAGATTTCAAGATGTAATGATTAACTGTTTCAGATTACTATTAGTTCATAGTTTATTAAAAAATATTTAATGAAAGTAAATAATTAAACAATAATTGTTTCTTAAGAAATGTGAAATCTCTAGAAAATCAATCTTCTAGGAACAGAGGGAGTAATATTCTACAATTGGAAATTATGGTAGTACTGTATATGTATGTGCGAGTTTTAACTATTTAAGCCATACTTTGATTAATATTGAATAATATAAGATTCTCATGGTTGATTCCACAATTACCTAAAGGTAAAGTTGTCAATTACCCTCACCAATATTCCTAAGATGATTCTAGTAGTCAAGTTAATATATAAGGTTATGTATAGAAACTAGGATCGGACCCGCGGTGGACCGCGGGAGAATATTGGTTTACATACGTTGCGTTTAATATTGTGTGCGTTTTTTAGTAGAACGAGTCGTGTAGTATACTTATAAATATTCATAATAACGAATTGTAGAGAAAATGTAAAATTGTTTATAAATATACCCATCGTATTAATTATGATTTACAAAATAGAATTTTGTGTTTTAAAATTCTAAAATTAGATGATTCATGGGAATTAGAGCAGTCAAAATAGGTCAAAAACCGCGGGTCGAGCCCACATCATCTCACTATGGGGCAGATTTGGGAAAATATATTAAACCCACAAATAAGCGGGCCACATGGATTAATTCGCAGTGGGTCATAGGTTTAATCGGTTTTCATCCGCGGGTTGGCGGATCAGCCCGCATATTAGTATTTATTGATAAAATTATAATTTATTCAACGTGTGGTAATTTAAACAAAGTTTTAATAGTATTTTTATTTATTTATTTATTTTAGTAGTATTTTAAATTTTGGTTACTTTAAAATTATTTAAACAAAATCCATGGACAATCCCGCAAATCCGCATACATTCGTGGGACGGGTTTGTATTTCATATATGCTACCCGCGGGTCGTGCGGACCGACTAACACAAGTCAAAATATTTTTTGTCTATCGCAAAACGGACTCAACGGGACGAATCAACTCGCTTTGACAGTTCTAATGGGAATATTATTTAGTCATACAACAAAATGAAGTTTGGACATAGTAATAATAGAATATGTATCTTATTTGTTAGATGAGAGATTGAAAGATGAAGTATAATGATTAAAAATTAATTATTATTTTCATGATTCACAAAATTTAATAAATACTTATCATCTTGTTGAATAATTCTAAAATCATATTCAAAAAATCTTTATGAATTGAAAATTAAACTTCTTTGCTAAGCTATAGGTATGAAAATATCATAATTTTGATTTAATCTAATTAAATTAAAATTAGTTACATGTATTTCATATCTATTTAATTTACACGATCAAAATAAAAATATCTATTTAATTTACACTACCAAAATAAAAATATCAATTTAATTTATAAAACAGATGAGTTATTTGTGATAAATTTTCTAGAAATCTTTAGAAGCAAATAAAATATCTTTCAATTAATGATAATTGGCTAAAATGAGCAAAATTAATGACAAAACGTTGATTGTTATGGAATTAGTCCCAAAAATATATGAACAAATTTATTATACGTAATTAATGTATAATATTGTTTGGAATATGCTTTTATTATTAGTTATCATAAGTACAATCAGATTTTATTTGATTTCCATAAATATTTGATTTTATTTCGATTTTTCATTATTAATTCGCATTTATATTCCAAAAAAATTTCAAAGATCCGATTTCAGAATTTCGGGTTAATTTTCTGATTTTAACCCGATCCATTTCCTTTTGTACTTCTCTTTTAATAGTATAGAGATATAAAATTTAAAAACAAAGAGGAAATGTCAAAAGGACATGACTCGGCTGTCCATCTTGTAGTGTACCAAATGGGGCATGTGGAAGGTTGAAGAAAAGCTATCCCCACTTTTTGTTGATTATTTTTTTCTAGTATTAGCTTTTTCAAAAGAAAGTGATTATAAAATTTCATAGAAATATGTTTTTGGCAGTAATATTGATTGAGACTTAGCTCTCCCTTTATCGGACACATATCATGACCTTTGGATCATGGTCTGTCCCTCTTCTTTTACGCATTCATCGACATTTCTTTTGTTTTCCTATCACTTTTCAACATTAATTCCATAATTATGAAAAACAACAACAAATCCTATTTTTTTCAAACTAGAATCAAGGGCCCTGGATTTTACTTTTA